CCTGCTGACAGTATTCTGCCAGCTTTCTTTCAAAAAAGTCGAGTGGCATATTAATGTGACTGGGGTGTGTTGTCTCTAAATGTCGTCTTTATTTGTTGGGTCTCATGCTGTCTGCTGCCAATGGTTTAAGACACAAGACACACATGGGTCTCTCCTCTGCCCCCACCAGTCCCACCGTGAATCCAAGCGCAAGATAGGCTTCATCATATTTTCTTTTCAGCTGGCTTTTTGGTTGATAAGGCTACTGCCAGTTGTTTCTTTGTCTGCTTGCGCTGAATCGCCTGCTTTTCTTTGTGGTCCACGTAACATACTGTATTTATCCATTTACGTTTTTATACTTACTACGTACACTATTGGCCCCCTCTGTGAACATTTCCTTATATTGTTGCGTAGCAGTTAACATGCTGACATTAAACCGTTATTGTTGCACTATGGTTCCACTTTTTTCTCCCGGGCCCGAACTGATATTTTGATTTACTTGTATTAATGACCCATTTCTAATTTTCTCCGTTCATTGCGCCCCACCTGTCATGTCTTTATTCCCCACTAGCGGGGTGCACCCCACACTTTGAGAACCACGGCACTAAATGAACTCTTAACAGGCCGTCAGTGAACAACAGTCAGTGCACCCAGATGGATTCCTCATCACAGACTGGGACATTTTCAAACACATAACAATCAAATAGACATAGAGGAATACACTGAGGCCATCACAGCATACATCACAAAGTGCATTGATGATGTCACCTACAGCAAAAATATCACTGCCAACCAGAAGCCATGGATGACAGGTGAGGTTCACAGGCTCCTAAGGGCTCGAGATGCAGCCTTTAGGGCTGGTGACACCACAGGCCTAGCAACAGCAAGAGCCAACCGGTCCTCCTGGTCATGCAGAACATCAAGTCCATTCTTCCGCCCTCTCACAGCCCATTTCAGTTTGCATACAGGTCAAACAAGTCCACAGAGGATGCCATTACTGCTGTTGTCCATCCAGCCCTCACCCACCTAGATTCACAGAACTCTTACGTGTAAATGCTCTTCCTAGACTTCAGTTCAGCATTCAACACAATCATTCCCCAGCAGATCATACAAAAGTTTGGACACTTAGGACTCAAAACCTCTCTCTGCAACTGGGTGCTGGACTTTCTAACAGGGAGGCCACAAAATGTGTGGGTTGGCAGCAACATCTCCAAGACCATCACGCTGAGCACAGAGGCTCACGACTGTGTGCCAACCTACAGCACCAACCACATTGTCAAGTTTGCAGGTGACATGACTATAGTTGGCCTCGTTACCAACAATGATGAGGCCAACTACAGGAGTGAGGTGTGCCATCCTCTTCCTCAATG